GAACAAACTTCTCCCTGTTGCTTCCAGTGGCTTCCTGCCAGGCCAGTGGAAAACCAGGAGACAGGGAACTTGAACCACAGCTGGACAGAGGCGGCTCACAGAGGGAGGAGCTCAGCCCCAGGAGCTCAGCCTAGAACCCAGGAGCCCACATAGCTCAGGTTTAGTGATTGTGGGGAGCTTCCCAGGGAAGCTGATGTCCACAGTGGATGCCATCAGGAAGGACATCCAGACATCGGAGACCACCTGGGCAAAGTGGCTGGAGCCCACGGGGTGGGCGAGGGGCTGACCAAGGAGGCTGGAGCCAACCCAAGACGGAAGTGAGGGTTCTCTAAGGGAGGTGAAAGCAGGAGAGGAAGGGGGTCAGGTCTGGGTGGAGGATGGATCCCGGAGGTTGCTGATACGGGTGGGTGGAAGGGGAGGCAGCGAGACAAATGAAGGGGACTCATTCAACCACTCAACCTGGGGAGCCCGTACCAGGCCCCAGGCCCCATGGTGTGGCAGGGATCCAGCTGAGGGGCTGCAGTGGTCTGGACTTTGGTGATGGGGACCGGGATGGATGGAAGGGACAGAGATCTCAAGGAGGGGATCCTACTGCCTTCTCTAAACAGATCCTGGCCTTTCGCAAATTGGCTTCTGGTTTCTGGGTCAGTCTTGCATGAACCTGGAAATTGGGATCCCATTATTTTATTTTTTWAAATTTTTTTAAGTTGATGTACACAATACCTTTATTTTATTAATTTTTAAGTGCTGTTGAGGATCAAACCCAGGGCCTCACACGTGCCAGGCAAACACACTACCACTGAGCTACACCCCCGGCCGGGAATCCTATTATTCCAGAATGCAGAGCTGAGACCACACCTCAAGGGACCTTAGGGAAGCAGACTAATTTAGAGTCCCTTCCAGAGCAGGGCAGCTCAGCTTTCCCACTCCCTGCTACCGCCATTCCACCCCAGGCTCCAGAAAGAGCACCCAACAGTGTCCCAATTGCACTTCCGACTTCCTCTGTGAGCTGCAGGCGTCACCACACCAAGACTAAGAGAAACCCGGCTGTCTAGGTGTCACCGGACAGGGGTGGGCAAGATTAGCATCAGCCACCATTGCTTCGGTCACTTTCTTTCTGGGCTCCTCTCTCTCGCTCAAGGACGAGCCTTGGAGCTGCCTCCTACCTCCACCAGACTTTGGGTGAGGGTGTCTCCCCCATCAGATTAGGAACTGCCAGAAGGTAGATGAAGGGAGGAATCTAAGTCAGGGAGGCTGTTTTCTGCCACCTCATCGTTGTTTGAACTTGGGGAACATCCTCTGTTTACTTCCAAATCATGGAATGGGTTAATAATAATGCTGGTTTTGAGAATTAAAAGACATAAAGATAAAAGAAACATGAAAGGACGTGGGAAATATGGACAGGACATCAATACCAAGCACAACCATGAAGAAGGGGGAGCATAAAGACAGGAGGGGGCCGGACACAGTGGCCCACGCCTGTGATCACAGGGGCTCGGGAGGCTGAGGCAGGAGGATCTTGAGTTCAAAGCCAGCCTCAGCCAAAGCGAGGTGCTAAGCAACTCGGGGAGACCCTGTCTCTAAATAAAATACAAAATGTGGCTCTGTGGTGAAGCACCCCAGGATTCAATCAACCAAAAAGAAGGAGCAGGCAGGCCCCTGCATGCAGGATGTTGTCCCCTTACAGTGCTCCACTCCTGGTGGGCGCTCGGGCCCAGTCGACACTGGTGGAAGACATGAGTGGTCAGTGCAGCGGTGCTGGCGGAGAGCAGAGCGCTAGTTGACCACTGGGGCAGGAGGCCCCTGGAGGCCGGTGACCCAGCTGGGTCAGGGCTGGGCTGTGGGATGGTTCTACTGCACTAGGAGCGGTGCCTCGGGGACTCCATGTGAGGACCCCAGCGAGTCTATAGGGCTCGCTCCTCCAGGACTCACAGGGGTCATCCCCTGCCAGGGTGTCCAGTGACATCCCAACTGCCTGCTCACCACCTCCCCAGCCTCCCCTCCACCCCAGAGCACATTGGCACTGTGCTGTCCCCCATGGCCCTGTGGGGCACCCCTCCTCTGCCCAGGACTTCAGGAACTTGGGGTCTCCTGGCCCGACTAGCTGCAGCTGAAGTCCTGCCTCCCCGACCTTCCACCTCCTCAGATAGCTCCAGACAAAGCTTGGCCCCAGGAGCCCAAGACCACAGCTTCGTCGTTCAAACAGAAGCCTGCAAGCTGGGAACCCGCAAAGCTGCACAACCTGGCTGCCCTGGCTGCCATCTCCACTCTGCAGTTGGGCCCAGAGGCCTGTTGTAGGGGTGCTGAGCATGCGGGTCAGGGGTTTTGTGACATGGCCCAGTGCCAATGTTTAGTGATATGCAACTGTCACCACAAGACGGAGTGGAGGGTCGAGTAAAACCAGAGAACCCTGGTCATGTGTGCGTGACAGAGAGAGATGGGGGAGAGGTGCTGGCAAAAAGGGAGGGATGGGACCAAGTGCAGCCCAGCCGCTGCATCTGYCGGGGGTGGCTCCAGGCCCTCCCCTGAGTACTGAAATCTGAGGAGGCTCAAGTCCCCTATACAAAATGACATGTATTTGCACAGAACGTGGGCACACGCTCCCACATGGCTTAACCTGATATCTGGGTTATTTCAAATACCTAACACAATGTACCTCTTGTGGTAGTTGCTCTACCGTGTGGTTCACGCACAATGAGTGTGTTCAGTGCCCACTCTCCCATCTGTGTGGGGCAGCAACTACAGGACACTTTTTTCCTTGAGTAGTGTTAAGTGGCGGTGGGTGGAACCCCTGGACATGGAAACTGTGGAGGTGATCCCTCATAGACACATCCATCCCCTCGTGGAAAATATGGTTCTTCCCTGAACTGGCTGGTGAAGAAAACGGCACAGAGAAGTTGTCCTGTGCAAAATCCCAGGAGAAACGGGGAGCTTGGATTCTACCCAGGCCGCCCGGCTGGTAGGGCTGTTTGTGCGGCCACCTCAATGGGGTGTTTTATGGCAGTGGGTGGAATCCCCACCTGATGGGGCTGTTGCAATGTCATTCTCTCAAGCTTCACTGGGTGTAAAGCCAGTAAACAGGACAAGGTGGTGTCTGGCCCTCCACCTCCCTGTCCCCTGCTACTTGAGCTCCTCCCCAGCCTCACCTGGACGCCTGCCTCCTCTCTATCCCCTCCTCGTTCTTCTCTCCCTTTCAGACTGCACCAGTCCTCCTGGAGGCAGCCTGTCCTGAGTCCTCTGCCCTCTGTGGGTCTTTCCAGCGAGCCCCCTTCCCTAAAGGCCACACACCAGTTCCCTTTCCACCCTGCCTCCCTCCCTTCCCAGTACACAGCAAGCTGGCCTGTCCATAGATTTTATTGTAAAAATGTTAAAATAAATTACATTTGCCATCATAACCAGTATGTACATACAGTGTGTGATTCCAGGAGTCGGCAACGAGATGAGCTCATGGAACCCTGCGCAGAACACAGGCTGCTCCTTCCACACCCCCCGGCTGGCCACTGCAACCGTTCAGAGTGAGCGGGGCGTGCACATGCCCCCTGCCAGCTTCACATGGCGGGGAGGGACCCTCTACTCAATCTGCGCCTGAGCAGAGGTGCTAGGGGGGGCGGGACTGAGCGTCAGAGGGTGTTGGGCTGTGACTAGGCTCCTGTCCCTCCTGCCCAGCACCCAGCCACCTGCAGGACACCCTTCTCTACCCTTGCTCCCTGCCATCAACTCTGCTTGGGGACTTGGCTCTTGATAGGACTTCGGCTTACATCACAAAAGTCTCAGTTGAGTTGGGGGGCAGCAGGGTACACAGTGGATGTCCCCATCCTTGGGACCCTGCTCTTTAACCACTGGCTCTGAAGCAAACAGATTCCAGGTATATAAAACAGCAGTTCATTAAAAAAAAAAAAAAAAAGAAGAAGAAGAACAGTAACAACAACATTCAGGGCAGAGTGGGCTGGTCCTGGGGTGCACATCATCAAAACCCCAAACTCAGGCAGCAGCGAGTTCTACCCACCCCTCACCAGAAAGAAACGGAGTCCGCGTACGGCTTCGCATTCTCTCTTCTCAGCCCAGGGGCCTTCCTTTCCCACACGTCATGCACACATGCACTCAAGCCATACAGTAGCAGAGAGAGGAGCTCAATTCACAGTTTTGGCCATTCTCCATTGGTGGGCCGCGAGCAATCTGGCCTCATGCCCTGGCCCCGGGGTGGGGGGGAGTGGTGGGTACAGGTGAGGCGGTCTGTGAGAGGGGCAGCGAGGTCTGTGACMGAGCCTAGATGCGGAGACAGCAGGATGGGTGTGTGGGTACTCAGGCCAGGGGCATGCAACTTTAGGGGGAAGTAGTGGGCGAGAGGAGAGGGGCGAGGGGCAGAGTTAGCCCGAGCTAAGCCTCACCCTTGAACGCCCTTGTAGACCCCTGTCCCCAGCTTCCATGGGCCAGGTCCACCACCCTCTCTTCCTCCCACCACTTAGGGTGCAGAAAGCCTTGTCTGCCGTTGATGGGCTGAAGGCCTGAGACAGGGACATGGCTCTGGGGCAAGAGGGCAGGCCCCTGGGCCCATGCTGGCTTTGGGGTGCTTCAGTTCCTGCCTATCAGCTCAGCTCCCCTCCCACTGTGGCCTCTGCCCTCCTGAGGTTTGCAGTGGGGGCCTGAAGGGCATCCACAGGTAGATGGGGAGATGGGCCCTAATACTGTTGGGGTACTGAGAAGCCCAGACCTCAACATCACAGCTGAACCTCCCAAACACTCAAGTACTCAAAAAGGCAGACCCCCGGTCTACAGCCCCTCCCCTCTGTGAAACTCCTAGCTCAGTGCCAGGCACATGGAAATTGCTCCTTAATACTGGTGAACTCAAATGGTGGAGGCCACTGGCCTCAGGGAACCGTATGACGCTCAACTGAAGACAGGCTAAGACCCAGGCGGGCGTGGGCCTCCTCAGGTCAGTGCTGCCAGCCCACATGCCTCCCAGTCATCAATAACACCGTTCACGCTCAGGACAGTGGCCTCCCTACACTAGGGTGCTGCTCAGCAGAGAGCAGAGGCCCTGTCCTGGGCATGCGCCATGTTCCATCGGGGCAACCAACTGGAGGGGACAGAGGAAAAGGAAGGCCCCTGGCTCCCCACTCCCAGCTGCAGGGCTGCCCGACCAGGAGCCCGGGCTCTTGGCCACCGCGGGACACCCCGGGGTGAAGGGAAGAGCCATCAAAGGTGGGGTGAGGAGCCGGCCCGCCTCAGGTGCCTTTGGGGCTGTTTGCCTTATTGTACTCGTTCATCAGCTGCTCGTAAGGCACAGAAAGCTCCGACTCGGTGCTGGTGAAGGTGGACTCATCCGACGAGGGGAACTTGCCCATGTTCAGGGGCACCTGGGTGGCGTCCCCCTCCTGGGGCTGCTCCTCCCCCACCAGGTTGTCCTCCAGAGAGGACTTAGAGGTGTCCTCGTCCAGGAGGCTGGCCTCCTCGTTCACAAAGGCAATGCTGGCGTTCTGGAAGATGAGCGGGTGGTAGTCCCGGGCCCCCCAGGGCTCGTCCTCCTCGCTGATGCGGTCCAGCTGGTTGATGAACACCTCGGAGGTTGGGGAGCTGTCCTCGGGGGCCTGCGGCTGGTCCTCCTCTCCAGGGGGCCTCGACACGTGCCCTTTGCTCCTGAGCGTCTGTGACACCTCTTCCAAGCTGGGGGCGCGGTTCTTGGTGTAGACCACCAGGGACGCCCGGGAGGCGGGGAGCGCGGGCAGCCCAGCCCCCGGAGGCCCCAGCCCAGGTCCTGGGACCCTCTCCCCACCCCCACTGGTCTTCATGGCCTTCTTCCCGATCTGCTTGATGAGGTCGTTGTAGGTCTCTTCCTTTTTGGACAGGAAGCTGAAGATGTTGACGTCCTTGGAGGCCGCGCCGCCTGCCATCCCCAGGGCTTTCCGGGAGTGTGGGGAGCTCTCGAAGGACTCCTTCCGCCGTCTCCGCCTCTTCTTAATGGCTTTGTGGACCTCCACAAACATGCTCACCTTCCAGTTGACAAAGAGGGACAGCCAGGCCAGCCCCAGGTAGATCCAGAGCTCCACAAAGTACCGGTACAAGGCGTGGTAGTTGGCACTGGGGTTCACACCTGAGGGGAGGGGAAGTCCAGAGGGTCATAAAGGGTCAGCGGGGACCTGTAATGGCCAGAGTCGTGCTGTCTGAGCCAGTGCCATGCTACAACAGGGTGGGTGTGGTGGTGGGGGTGACAGAGTGTAAAAGAAATGGGCTGTCCCAGGCTCTGGGCTACCCTCACCCGTCTTCTTCCTGAAGAACCTTGGCCACATTGCTCATGTCCCCTCCCAGCCCTTCTCTGAGCCCCGYGTGCTCGCTTAGAAAAAGTCAAGACAAGAGGGCGCAGTGGCGCACACCTACGATACCAGCCGCTCGGGAGGGTGAGGCGGGAGGATTGAAGTTTGAATGCCAGCCTCAGCAACCTAGCAAGACTCTCAGCAATCTAGGGAGAACTTGTCTTGGAAAAAAAAAGTCAGGACGGTGGTTACCTTATGGGTGGGGGGGAATAAAGAAGTTTTGGGGTTCTGTTGTAGTAAGTAACCAACACATGAGTCAAGAAACMGCTCACAGCTGAGAGGGGTGGCCCACGCCTGTCATCCCAGCAACTCGGGAGGCTGAGGCAGGAGGATCATCTCAAAGTTCCAAGCCAGCCTCAGCACTTAGCAAGGCCCTAAGCAACTCAGTAAGACCCTGCTCAAAATGAAACATAAAGGGGCTAGGGACGTAGGGCTGGGGTTGTGGCTCAGTGGTAGGTCGCTCGCCTAGCACGTGCGAGGCCCTGGGTTCGATCCCCAGCGCCACATAAAAATAAATCAAATAAAGGTATTGTGTCCAACTACAACTAAAAAATAAATATTTAAAGTGGAGGGGGGGTGCCGCTAGGGATGTAGCTCAGTGGTTAAACACCCCGGGGTTCAATCCCTGGTGCCCAAAAAACAAAGAAAAGAAACAGCTCCCGGGTGCCTTCAGTGAGGCACTCTGCTGGGCCCAGCTGGAGTGTGTCTGTGAGAGCTCAGTTAAAAACAGGACGGAACCTGCACGACGAGGCACTAGCAGCTCCACACAGAGGAGGGACTTGCTGCTTCACCATGAGTGAGGCTGGTGGCTGCGCGGAGATGACCCAGACCCAGCACTGTACTCCTAACTGTCTCTGTTCTCCTTTGGGCCTGGTCTGCCTCTCACTCCCTGTTTCTGCCTTTCTCGACACAGGCTCTCCCGGGGCCTGGAGGGCTCTGCCCACTCCTCGTCCCCCTCCTCTCAGACCGGGTTCCTGGTGCCAGCTGCAGGAGCCTTCCTGGGTCACCCCGGAGTTCTGGTGACTCTAGGATTGAGATTTCTTCCCTGAATTCGCACTTGCAACTGTGTCAATCTCTATCCTACCTCCTCCCTCAGGCTGGGAGGAGCTCAAGAGAAGGGACTGCAGGAGAGAGTGACCTCTCAGATTAGGCTCCCCCCAGGGGGTCAGGCAGGGCTGGGTCTCAGGAGGTGTTCTGTCTGCAGGGTGCTGTCAGTCTTGCTGAAGGCTCCTGATCCTGAGCAGAGTATGACAGTGACAGTGATGAGGGCCACACTAATACAGCTGCACTCAGGAACAGACATGTCTCATTTTTCACATCGTGTGTGGTGGGCATTATTTTAATAATAATAATAATAATATTTTTATTATTATTATTATTATTAAAATAATAATTTTACAGGTAAGAAGCAGATTTGCTGACTTGCAGGAGCCRGGAGGAGTGGTTCAGCAGCCGCTGGCCGTCCCTAATTCAAAGGCTCCCCCTCAGCCTGCTCTGGGCCCCAGGGCTAGACAATGGCAGGGTTGTGCCTTTACATTCATCTCCACGACAGCAGGCAGGCTCAGAGTTGCCGGGGTCAGTGGAGTGTTCGCACTGGCCTTCCTGTTCCTCCCACCCACTCAGCTGCCCCCTCCCCACATTCCACATGCAGCGGGGCAGAGGGGGTGACCTGCCCCTGCCCTCTGGGTGAGGAGTTGGGGTGAAGTCCAGAGGCCCTGGAGTAGAGGTGGAGGTCAGCTGGGCAGGGCACAGGCATGGAGGGAACAAACACTAGCAGGGTGTCAAGAAGATTAAGAACCCAGAGGCTGTGCAGGCCACAGGCACAAGAGCTTGAGTGTGGGTTGCAGGCCTCCAGACAAAGGGGCTAAAGAATCTCCCTGTCTTTCCTCTCCTCCAGGGATTAAGTAGAGGAGGARGAGGGGGAATGAGGGCTGAGGGGGCAGGGCGGTGAGGAGAAGGCCTGCCTTGTCTTTCGTAGCCTGTGGCAAGAGCAGAGTTGGCCTCTGAGCCAAAGCTTCAAGACAGCGCCCTCTGCTCTGGTGACTGACAGCAGGCGGTGCCTCAATGGGACAGGGCCTGGCTCTCTGGGTCAGAGCCCAACCCTGCAGGTGCAGGCCCTCCTCCCAGCCCCAAGTGAACCAGAGCTCTGAGTTGGGGAGACAGCAAGGAGCCAGGAGGAGGACAGCCACCCGGACACCCGCAAAAGGCTGCTGGGTTGAAATTGGAGAAGGAGCAGAAGAGAAGGTGGGGAGGTGGAGGAGGGGGAGAGGGAACAGGGACGCACCAGCCACAAAGTCACCAAAGCCGATGGTGGAGATGGTGATGAAGGAGTAGTAGAGGCCACCGATGTAGTCCCACTCCTCGGTCACCATGAACACGAAGGGCGGGATCACCAGGTGGACCAGGACGCCCCACACGATGAAGATGGCCGTGCACGTGATCTGCGCCTTCCGCTGCAGGGTGGTGGAGACAGAGTCAGACAGCGGCAGGGACTTCAGAAACCCAGCATGGACACCCCGACTAGGAGAGGCCATTTGGCCACATGTCCAGGAGTCTTGCTCCCCAGGGAGGGAGGGAGGAGGAAGGATACTCCCAGCCTGACACAGTGGGCAGAGATCACCCAAACCACCATGTGCCCACCCTCCAATTCCTGAAGCCTTCCTATCCCCCCCTCCCTTTTCACAGTCCCCCCAACTCTGTCAGCTCCTAGGACTAGGGACATACCAAGCTCATGCCTCTCCTGGTGAGGAACTGGCCCAGCCTCTTGGCACGTCCTCCGAAGAACTTTCCCAAGGCACTGATCCAGGTCAGACAGAGAGGTACCCCAAAGAGACCGTAGAAGACACAGAAGAGGCGCCCGGCGGGGGTCTTGGGGGCCACATTGCCATAACCTGAGGGAGGAGACAGTGAGGACCAGGTCATAGGCATGGCGGGGGAAGGGCCCCCCCCCACTCATGCGCACGCACACACATGCACGCACACGCACACGCACACATACCCCTTGTGGGAAGCCCATTCTCTGGGACCAGTTGATATTGATCTCGCATCAATATTTAAGTAATGACACTTTCCTTGATCCCACTCTGGCCCTGATCGTCTGTGCTGCCACTGTGGTGGCTCTGTCCCCATCCCACTGGAGCTGCCTGCGGGCAGGGATAGGCCACCCCCAGAGCAGGCCCTCCACTAGTTCACATGGTAGCACTGTGCAAATCGGAGGGATCACCCCCTCTGGCCGACACCCCAGAGGAACTGCAGTGTACGTTCTCCGGGGATGGCCACACTCAGTCCCCCTCCACCTGCTCCCATCAAGGAGGGACCCTTCTTCTCCCTTTGATTCGGCGCTTCAGCTTGACCACAGGAAGCAGTGGAAGTGCTGCTGGGTGGGCTGGGGGCTCAGGAGCTTCTCCTTCAGCCACACTGAGATCCCGAGCCACACAGCCACACAGAGGGGCCGTTTCCTCCCGCTGAGCTCCCAGCTGTCAGCCAGCACCGCTGTGGGACTCGGGGTGGGAGGAGCCATCCGGGTCATCAGGCCAGCTGGGCATTTCGAGGACGCCTGCTGCAGCCGTCATTTGACTGTCACAACAAAGTGAGCAAGAAGTGGCCAGCTGCACCTAGTCGACCCGGGGTGGTGGAAGAGAACACATGGCAGGGAGAACACTTCTGGAGTGGTGGGCTGTGGAGCCACAGAGAATCGGTCTCCTGCATGGCTCAGCCACCAGGCCGTGTCACTGCTTCTGTTGAAAAGGCTCAGAACCCAGGAAAACAATCTTGCAGCCACTGACAGTCACCAGGGACACTAAATCCTTAGTAGTCGAGAGGACAAAGTGTAACAGGCCAGATTTTACTCCCAATGCAGGTGAATCACCAAAACTAGATTCCTCTAAGGTTCTGAGAAGTGAGGGCACAGAGGGAGGCACCCTGAGGGTCTCAGGAAACCTACCAATGGTGGTGATGACCGTGGCTGCAAAAATCATCGCATTTGGCCAGTTCCAGTTGTTGAAGGTCTGGTTCCCTGTGATGGCCACGCCCTGCTCTGCAGCATCAGATACTACCTAAAAAGAGAGAGTGACAATGAAATCAGAGGCCATGCACTGGATTCCTTAAAAGCATTCTCATTTTATCGCCCGAATATCAAGGTGGCAGTAAGTGTTCCCATTGTATAGATGAGGCATTCAATAGAGAATCCGAGAGGTTAAGTTACTGGCTGAAGGCCACATACCTAGCATTCTGGCTCCAAAGTTAAAACTTACTAGTGTGCCAGACAGAATCACCTGAAGAGCTACGGTTCAATAGACTGCTGGCTCTACCTCCAGAATTTGGCTCAGAAGCTCTGGGAAGGGGCATTTTTAAAGAGTTCCCAGGTGGTGCTGAAGCTACTGGTCCAAGGACCACACTTTGAGAAGCACTGGACTATTCTACCTCTCCAAAGTAGAAGAGTGTGACCAAGGTAGTTCTTGTGATGCAGACACACAAGACCTCCCTACACCTCACCCAGCCCTCCACAGATAGTTCACCTGCAGAGGCCAGGTCCCTGCCTGGGAGGGACCTCCAACAGGGACCCCTATATCCTTCAACTCGCCATTGGATACCTGCTAAGATCCAGCTCAGTGCCCCCTTGATCTGTCCCCTGAGGGTATGCAAACCAGCTGTGCCTTGAAACCCCTTCCCATTTACTCTGGGGGGTGGGCACGCTCTTCCTCCCTGCCCTGGGCTGAGCAACTGTCTGGACAGGGACAGGTAGGTCAAAGGGCAGGGAGTACACTTCAGGGTGACTGCTCAATTCTCATGGAGCTTCAGCAACTCTGACAGCGGGTGGGAGGCCACCTAGGAAGTCCATGGGGAAGGCCAAGGAGAGACCTTATCTGCTCCAGGAATCCTGACCGGAACCACACTGGTTTCCAATCAACTAGACCCCCCCCCTCCTTCAGCTCTGCCGTCATTCAGCCCAGCCACCAGTGGGGGTCCGTTGGCTGCCAGAGCCTGGGCCCCATAAAAAGAGGCACTCTGCCAGCCATGGTGGCACACACCTGTGATCCCAGCAACTTGGGAGGCTAAGACAGGAGGATCACCAAGTTCAAGACCAGCCTGGGCAACTTAGCCAGAACCTGTCTCAAAATAAATAAAGAGGGCTGGGGATGTGGCTCAGTGGTAGAACATCAACAGGTTCAATCTATAGTATAAGAAAAATAAAATTTAAAAAGGGCTCTAAATCTGGGGTGGAGTCCTGCCACCCAAAGGGAGTCCCAGGATGACCCAGCCCAGACAAGAAACCAGAAACCCAGCCAGATTCCCTATGAAAACCAAGCTGACGGCGGCGGGGAGTGAGAGGAGTGAGGCCTGAAACCATATTCTAACCCCCCTGAGGCGTGACTGAGGTTTGGTGGGAAGAGGGAACGGTGGACTGATCTGAAGGAATGTGCAGTTTGCAGAAGCAGCGAGGCCCGTGTAAATGGATCTGCACACTCCGTAAAGAATTTTCCATGATGACGCGCCTGCCTGACGCACCATCAAACCGCACAGTGTTGGTAGCCCTGCCTCCTCCTGCACTCCAGATCATCCCTGAAGACCGAGAAGCATCCTCACAGGGGACGTGGGAACTGGGGACGGTGCACTGACTTCAGCCAGGGAGGTCTGTGTCCTCAGAGCCTGAGGTCCAGCTGGACCAGCCATGGACATGTAAATAACCAGAGGGCATTTAGATACAAACAAGCCATCAGGAGAACTAAACAGGACCATCCTAAAGGTGGTTTGGTTTTTTTTTTTTAAAGAACATTTTTTTCCCAGTGCTAGGGATTGAACCCAGGGCCAAGCACTCTACTATTGTAATTCCAGCCCCAAAAGGTTTTTGAAAAACCTAAACGTATGTTTGGAGCAAGAGAATGAGGAAGAACTGGAGCCCCACATGTTGACGCTAAACAGAGGGCAGAGAGAGCCAGAACCGCCCCTTTCCCTTGCCTCCACTACGTTATCTGACATCCATCTTTTAATTTTTATTTTTTGGTACTGGGGATTAAACCCAGGGCATTCTACCACTGAGCTACATCCCTAGCCCTTTTTACTTATTCATTTTAAATTTTGAGACGGAGGTTCACTAAGTTGCTGAGGCAGGCCTTGAACTTGCAATCCTCCTGCGTTAGCCTCCTGAGCTGCTGGGATTATAGGCCGGTGCCACGGTGCCCAGCTGATGTCGATCTTAATTAAACCGGATGGCCTGAAGTAAAACAGATGAAATGAATGTGCAAGAGCACCTTTCAACAGAAACTGAATCAACGATGACACTGGGTCACCACTTGGGTGACCCTACGGAATCATGGGGAACAGAAAAGATGTCCCCTAGACAAGCTGTCCCTCTTTTCACAAGAAGGAATAGGGTACACTCTAGAAACCCAGAAGGCAAAGCTGAACCCTTGGAAACTGCTGAATGGAGAGCACAGGACGTCTGGAACACGGGGCAGAGGAAGTGGTGGCAGGACAAGTCACGCTCAGCCGACTGCATCTCCTCCAAGCCTTGAAGTCCTGTGGAATGCCGCCCATCGAGATTTCGGCGAGGCGGCTGACAGATGCACTTAGAGATACTCTGGTGGACAAGACAGAGCAATGTGGGGTGGAGCTGGGATCACTGGGTCCACTCGAGGACAGACAAGCCACGCCAAGCAGTCCTGGTCACTATCAGTCCAGACTGATCATGCCCAAGGCTTGGCCTCTACATTATTTTAATCAGGGGCACAGTGAGACCGTCCATGGCTGACCAGTCCCATGTGTAGAAGGTACAAAATGAAGGACGGGGATGGGTGAAGAGGATTCACTCACTACGAAGGCACTACCGAGACCCCAGACCTGCGCACAGGGGCTATGGGCCAACTCGTAGCTGATGAGCTATGAGTGTCTTTTCAATTTTCGAGGCTTCCAGTAWCTTTGGACTAGAAGAGACCAGTAGTGGACCAAAGGGGAAAGTCCTTGGTTTTAGGTGACCACAAATCAACAAACATGAAGGTGGCTGCCAAAAGAAAAGCAAACGCAGCATCAGGCCATAGGCAGCAACTCTGTCTGTCCAGGGCGGGAGGAATCAGGACACGTCCTGCAGGGTCAGGCCACACGCGAGACATACCGTTCCATACTGGGTGCCAGACTCCACTCGATACACTAACCAATGAGCCACGGGGCCAGAGTAGGAGGTGGCTTTTGTGGATAAGGATCTGCCTCCCCCACGGCTGCCCTGTGGCAATCAACTTCTGAAAAGAACATGTATTCAGAACTGGGGGTGCGGTGGGGGGAGCACTGCCATCAGGGTGCTGAATGGTATGGCTACTACAGGGGTTTTCAGCCGGGAGCAGGGGCACCTTCTAGAAGGGTTGGGAAATGCTATAAGAAGAGCAAGGTGTGTGCCGGACACGGGGGACACAGTAGTGAATAGATAGGTTTATTCTAGAGGGTGATGGGCAGGAGGCCAGAGATGCTAAATGCCCTGTACTTCACAGGTAACCCCCGACAGGGACACTCCCCCGAGACCCACTAGCTGGCCAAAGGGGACCTTCGTCAATTTGGGGATCATTTACAAAGTGCTAAGCAGACATCAAACATAAGAGCTGACAGAAGTGGCACTAAAGTTAGTAACATGGGGAGGTGGGAAGGCTGGGCTTCTGCCCTTCACCCCACTGAAGGCACGCCCTGAGTGACAGCTTGCAGTCCACCGGGCTCCGGGTTATCAGGGAGCCAGAGGCTCACCCGTGTGTGGCTCCCCGCCCTCCTCCCACCAGGGTCATCCCGTGAGGGTAGGCATTCCACAGGGCCCCCAGCTCTGTGGGGCTGGGATCACAACCCTAGAAGCAATGGCTGCAATTAGGCTCGCGGGGCAGGGGGTGCCTGGCACAGCAGGCCTGGGCCGCAGACCACCGGTTTCCAGGCCCACTCCTTGCCTCTCTCCCTCCCTTCTGATCTGCCCGCCCTGGGCCCCGGAGCCCCTTGCTGTTGCCTCCTCTGCTCATGGTTCCCCAAAAGCTGGCCTGCCAATCATCATGGCTCTGCCTACCTGCTGGCGGGGTGTGTGTGTGTGTGTGTGTGTGTGTGTGAGACATTAGTGCTGCTGTCCCCTTGCTAGGGCTTCTCTGCATATTCTACCAAGCTGGCTCTTCCTGTGATCCTGTTGCACATGGCTTCGCAGGAGTAAGGCTGGGCTCAGGGAACTGAGGTCTGGCTGTGAACTTGGGGTGCCAGCTCCCCATTCCCACCACACGTAGCTGGGGCTCTGGTGATCGTGGTTGGGACTGCACAGGATGACGGGAAAGCTTTCACCAGTCTCCCAGAACAGAAGAGCTCACCCGGGGCAGAGGCCATCCCTGGGTCAGGGGAAGGGCTGTGAGGAGCCAGGCAAACACCCTATCAGACACAGCGTCCCGGCCCTGGGGTTAGGGAAACAGCCTTCCCAGGAGGAGGTGGCCCCTGCTCATTTGCAGGATTCTTTAACTTGGCTCCTGAATTCACACAAGACAATATTTTCCTTTTCCATCTAAGCCGGGAGAATGATGGGAGAAGGGCGCTTGCACACAGCCTGGGCCAGGTCCTTGTTTGGGGACGGAACAGAGTTCCCTGCCTCTGTCACCTTCATCATAAAGCCGCTATGATTTATTGAGGGCTGACTGTGTGCCAAGAGTTGTGCTCAGCATTTTATGTGCCTTTAGATCATTTGCGGAGGACAGAATCCTGCTAGGAAGATGCTCTCATTTTTTCCACTTTGCAAATGAGGATTCGAGGCTCTAAGAGGTTAAGGAAGTAGTAGCCCAAGGTCGCAGTATTAAAAGCAATGAAGCTGGGACTAGAACCCAGGCCCACCTGGGTCCTAACCACTGTGCTCTGCTCCCTTTCCCCATGAAGGCCACAGGAAGGAGGCCTGTGCATACTTCCACCCCCTCCCACCAGCTGAAAAAACAAGTGCCCCAAAACCAGTCCGGCCACTCTGACCCGGGCCTCCAGCAATGGGATAGCCCTGCCCTTGCCTGGAGCCTGAGACGCCAGCTGCCCGGCTCCACAGCCTGATCACTGTCCACGCAGCCTG